CTGTGTGTGTGTGTGTCTGTGTGTGTATGTGTGTGTCTGTCTGTGTGTGTCTGTCTGTGTGTCTGTCTGTGTGTGTCTGTGTGTGTCTGTGTGTGTGTGTCTGTCTGTGTGTGTGTCTGTGTGTGTGTGTCTGTGTGTGTGTGTCTGTGTGTGTCTGTGTGTGTCTGTGTGTATCTGTGTGTGTGTCTGTCTGTGTGTGTCTGTGTGTGTGTCTGTCTGTGTGTGTCTGTGTCTGTGTGTGTCTGTGTGTGTCTGTCTGTGTGTGTGTGTCTGTCTGTGTGTGTGTCTGTGTGTGTGTGTCTGTGTGTGTGTGTCTGTGTGTGTCTGTGTGTGTCTGTGTGTGTGTCTGTCTGTGTGTGTCTGTGTGTGTGTCTGTCTGTGTGTGTCTGTGTGTGTGTCTGTGTGTGTCTGTGTGTGTGTCTGTGTCTGTGTGTGTCTGTGTGTATCTGTGTGTGTCTGTCTGTCTGTGTCTGTGTGTCTGTGTGGTTGTGTGTCTGTGTGTCTGTGTGTCTGTGTGTGTGTCTGTGTGTGTGTGTGTCTGTGCGTGTGTCTGTGTGTGTGTGTCTGTGTGTGTGTGTGTCTGTGTGTGTGTCTGTGTGTGTGTGTCTGTGTGTGTGTCTGTGTGTGTGTGTCTGTGTGTGTGTCTGTGTGTGTGTGTCTGTGTGTGTGTGTCTGTGTGTGTGTGCGTGTCTTTAATCCTTTCAACGGCAGCAGGAATGGAAAGAAAGACACAATCAGATAGACAACGACATAGACACACAGAGAGCCATAGACTCACCACACAGAGACTCACCACAGAGAGCCATAGACTCACCACAGAGACCCATAGACTCACCACAGAGAGACTCAACACACACAGAGACCCATAGACTCACCACACAGAGACTCACCACACAGAGACTCAACACACACAGAGACCCATAGACTCACCACACAGAGACTCACCACACAGACACCCAGAGACTCACCACAGAGAGACTCATCACAGAGAGGCATAGACTCACCACACAGAGACTCACCACACAGAGACCCAGAGACTCACCACAGAGAGACTCACCACACAGAGACCCATAGACTCACCACAGAGAGCCATAGACTCACCACACAGAGACCCATAGACTCACCACAGAGAGCCATAGACTCACCACACAGAGACCCACCACACAGAGACTCACCACACAGAGACCCATAGACTCACCACAGAGAGCCATAGACTCACCACACAGAGACCCATAGACTCACCACAGAGAGCCATAGACTCACCACACAGAGACCCATAGACTCACCACAGAGAGCCATAGACTCACCACACAGAGACCCACCACACAGAGACTCACCACACAGAGACCCATAGACTCACCACAGAGAGCCATAGACTCACCACAGAGAGACTCACCACACAGAGACCCATAGAGTCATCACAGAGAGCCATAGACTCACCACAGAGAGACTCACCACACAGAGACCCATAGAGTCATCACAGAGAGCCATAGACTCACCACACAGAGACTCACCACACAGAGACCCATAGACTCATCACAGAAACCCATAGACTCATAGTGAGGTGAAGTGTGTTTGTGTGATTGAGAGGGTGAGCGAGTGGGTCAGTGGGTTGGTGAATTAGGGGGTGAGTGAACGATAAATTGAATGAGCGGGAGAGCGAGTGAGCAAGTGAGCGAGCGAGTGAGTGAGTGAGCGAATGAGAGCGTGAGTGAGCGAGTGAGTGAGCGAATGAGAGCGTGAGTGAGTGAGTGAGTGAATGAGAGAGTGAGCGAATGAGTGAGTGAGCGAGCGAGCGAGTGAGTGAGCGAGTGAATGAGTGAGTGAGAGAGTGAGCGAGTGAGTGAGAGAGTGAGCGAATGAGAGCGTGAGTGAGCGAGTGAGTGAGCGAATGAGAGAGTGAGTGAATGAGAGAGTGAGCGAATGAGTGAGTGAGCGAGCGAGCGAGTGAGTGAGCGAGTGAATGAGTGAGTGAGAGAGTGAGCGAGTGAGATCATGAGTGAGCGAGTGAGTGAGCGAGTGAGTCAGCGAATGGGTGAGTGAGTGAATGAGTGAGTGGGTGAGTGAGTGGGTGAGTGAGCGAGCGAGCGAGTGGGTGAGCAAGTGAGTGAGTCAGCGAGTGGGTGAGCGAGCGAGCGAATGAGCGAGTGAGTGAGTGAGTGAGCGAGTGATCGAGCGAGTGAGTGAGATAGTGAGTGAGCGAGCGAGTGGGTGAGTGAGCGAGTGAGTGAGCGAGTGAGTCAGCGAGTGGGTGAGTGAGTGAGCGAGTGGGTGAGCGAGTGAGCGAGTGGGTGAGCGAGTGAGCGAGTGGGTGAGTGAGCGAGCGAGCGAGCGAGTGGGTGAGTGAGCGAGTGAGTGAGCGAGTGGGTGAGTGAGTGAGCGAGTGGGTGAGCGAGTGAGCGAGTGGGTGAGCGAGTGAGCGAGTGGGTGAGTGAGCGAGCGAGCGAGTGGGTGAGTGAGCGAGTGAGTGAGCGAGTGAGTCAGCGAGTGGGTGAGTGAGCGAGTGAGTGAGCGAGTGAGTCAGCGAGTGAGTGAGTGAGTGAGCGTCTCCGTGCCAGGCTAGGTGCATGCATGTACCTGCAGCACTTGGTTCCCGGTGCTCTCGCGCAGGCAGTACGGGCGGACGACTCCGTCGGGGTGAATGACGCGCGGAGGTCTCACCCTGACCACCTCCTCCACGGACTCAGCAACTCTGCAGCACACAGACACAGACACACAGACACACACAGACACACACACACAGACACAGTGACACACACACAGACACAGTGACACACACACACAGACACAGTGACAGACACACAGGGAGGTCTCACCCTGACCACCTCCTCCACGGACTCAGCAACTCTGCAGCACACAGACACAGACACACAGACACACACAGACACACACACACAGACACAGTGACACACACACAGACACAGTGACACACACACACAGACACAGTGACAGACACACAGGGAGGTCTCACCCTGACCACCTCCTCCACGGACTCAGCAACTCTGCAGCACACAGACACAGACACACAGACACACACAGACACACACACACAGACACAGTGACACACACACAGACACAGTGACACACACACACAGACACAGTGACACACACACAGACACAGTGACACACACACACAGACACAGTGACAGACACACAGGGAGGTCTCACCCTGACCACCTCCTGCACGGACTCAGCAACTCTGCAGCACACACACACACAGACACAGTGACACACACACAGACACACACACACAGACACACACACACAGACACACACACACACAGACACACACACACAGACACACACACACACAGACACAGTGACACACACACAGACACACACACACAGACACACACACACAGACACAGTGACACACACACACAGACACACACACACAGACACACACACACAGACACAGTGACACACACACAGACACACACACAGACACACACACACAGACACACACAGACACACACACACTTACACACAGACACACACAGACACACACACAGTAAGACACACACACAGACACACACACAGACACACACACACAGACACACACACACAGACACAACAACAACAACAACAACCGCCATTCGCCACTAAGTGGCGGTGACGTCACCACGATGCTTGTGCCAGGCCAAGTGCACCTTGAGGCCACGTGAAGTGTCGAACGCCCGCTGGCAGGAGGTCACGGGGCAGACCCAGGTGCCACGGGTCGACTGACCGAGATGACCGAGATGACTGGCTGATGCACCACCTGTGCCCCCTACTGTACCAACTTGCTGTGCTTTAGCCACCCGGCGCTCCGCTCGTTGTTGTGAGCGTCGCTCCTCCGCCCTCCGTTGTTGTTGGAGGGCGACTGCCTCCAACTGCCCAGTAGCGTCCTTCACGAGCCTCCTCCACTGAGGCCGATCTTGACACCGCTGGTACCAGTCATCGGCAAGTCCACTCAGCTCCACGTCCTCCTGTACCACATCACTCCATCTCTTCTCCAGCCCGTGCCGCGCCCGTCTAGCCCCCTCGATCCGGCCGAACAAAAGCTGTTTAGGCATGCGGTGGCTGGGCATGCGGGCTACATGACCCAGCCAACGCAACCTTGCCTGCCGGAGGAGCTCACTGATGGGACTTTGCCCAGATCTTTCAAGGATTTGTGAGCTCCTCACACAATCCAGCCTGGTTAAACCCAAGATGGATCGTAGGCAGGCCAACCTAAATGTTTCCAACCGGCGAAGATGCTCCACTAGGGGGGTCCACGTCTCGCAAGCGTAGAGAAGGGAGGGAATGACCGTGGCCGAGAAGACCTGAAGCTTCGTGCGGAGCGACAGACCAGGTAGCTTCCACACAGCGTTACGCAACCGATGAAAAGATATTGCCGCTCGACTGATTCGGAGTGAGACCTCTGCTGTTAAACTGGAGCCGGTCATAAGCACACTGCCCAGGTGTGGGAAACTCTCCACTCTCTCCACAACTGCCCCATCACCAATTGGGAGTTGTGGGGGTGGAGTGTCCGATGGTACAAAATACCCAGGCAGGTGAGTGGTGAGTGAGTGGTGAGTGGCCACCCCCTTGACACACACAGACACAGACACACACACACACAGACACACACACACACACACAGACACACACACAGACACACACACACACACAGACACACACACAGACACACACACACACAGACACACACACACACACACAGACACACACACACACACAGACACACACACAGACACACTCACAGACACACACACACACAGACACACACAGACACACACACACAGACACACAGACACACACACACACAGACACACACACACACACACAGACACACACACACACAGACACACACAGACACACACACACAGACACACACACAGACACACACACACACACAGACACACACACAGACACACACACACACAGACACACACACACAGACACACACACAGACACACACACACAGACACACACACAGACACACACACAGACACACACACACACAGACACACACACACACAGACACACACACACACACAGACACACACACACACACAGACACACACAGACACACACAGACACACACAGACACACACACACAGACACACACACACACAGACACACACACAGACACACACACACACACAGACACAGACACACACACAGACACACACACAGACACACACACAGACACACACACACACAGACACACACACACACAGACACACACACACACAGACACACACACACACACAGACACACACACACACACAGACACACACACACACACAGACACACACACAGACAAGACACACACACAGACACACACACACAGACACACACACAGACACACACACACACAGACACACAGACATACAAACACACAGTCCGAGCCAGCCGTGACCCCCCCGCGTGACCCCCGGTGACCCCCCCGCGTGACCCCGCGTGACCCCCGCGTGACCCCGACCTCTTGATGCCGTCCAGGGTGCTGCTCGCCATGTCGATGACCCCCCCGGTGGGTTTGGCCACGACCCCAACGAGCCCCTTGGCCACCCCCTTGAAGAACCCCGCAGCCCCCTCCTGCCTGGCGCCTGGGGGGGTGGGGGGGTGAGTGGGGGGGGTGGGGGGGTGGGGGGGTGGGGGGGGGTGAGTGGGGGGGTGAGTGGGGGGGTGAGTGGGGGGGGTGGGGGGGTGGGGGGGTGGGGGGGGGTGAGTGGGGGGGTGAGTGGGGGGGTGAGTGGGGGGGGTGGGGGGGTGGGGGGGTGGGGGGGGGTGAGTGGGGGGGTGAGTGGGGGGGGGTGAGTGGGGGGGGTGGGGGGGTGAGTGAGTGGGTGAGTGAGTGAGTGGGTGAGTGAGTGGGTGAGTGAGTGGGTGAGTAGGTGAGTGAGTGTATGAGTGAGTGTATGAGTGAGTGAGTGGTGAGTGAGTGAGTGTATGAGTGAGTGAGTGAGTGTATGAGTGAGTGTATGAGTGAGTGTATGAGTGAGTGTATGAGTGAGTGAGTGAATGTATGAGTGAGTGTATGAGTGAGTGAGTGTATGAGTGTGTGAGTGAGTGTATGAGTGAGTGAGTGTATGAGTGTGTGAGTGAGTGTATGAGTGAGTGTATGAGTGAGTGTATGAGTGAGTGTATGAGTGAGTGGGTGAGTGAGTGGTGAGTGAGTGGTGAGTGAGTGGTGAGTGAGTGGGTGATTGAGTGGGTGGGTGGGTGAGTGGGGGAGTGGGTGGGTGGGTGAGTGAGTGGTGAGTGTATGAGTGAGTGAGTGGTGAGTGTATGAGTGAGTGAGTGGTGAGTGAGTGGTGAGTGAGTGGTGAGTGAGTGGGTGATTGAGTGAGTGGGTGGGTGGGTGAGTGGGGGAGTGGGTGGGTGGGTGAGTGGGTGGGTGGGTGAGTGAGTGGTGAGTGAGTGGTGAGTGAGTGGTGAGTGAGTGAGTGGTGAGTGAGTGAGTGTATGAGTGAGTGAGTGGTGAGTGTATGAGTGAGTGAGTGTATGAGTGAGTGAGTGGTGAGTGTATGAGTGAGTGAGTGAGTGTATGAGTGAGTGTATGAGTGGGTGAGTGAGTGAGTGTATGAGTGAGTGAGTGGTGAGTGGTGAGTGAGTGGTGAGTGAGTGTATGAGTGAGTGTATGAGTGAGTGAGTGGTGAGTGAGTGGTGAGTGAGTGTATGAGTGAGTGAGTGAGTGGTGAGTGAGTGAGTGAGTGGTGAGTGAGTGAATGAGTGAGTGAGTGAGTGTGTGAGTGAGTGGTGAGTGAGTGAGTGGTGAGTGAGTGAATGAGTGAGTGAGTGGTGAGTGAGTGAGTGGTGAGTGAGTGGTGAGTGAGTGAGTGGTGAGTGAGTGAGTGAGTGGTGAGTGAGTGAGTGAGTGGTGAGTGGTGAGTGAGTGGTGAGTGTTTCTCACCCTCCACAGGCTTCGTGAAGATCCCAGTCACTCCACCCACAACGCCCTGCACACAGACACAGACACATGTTCCCCAGGTAGCCTCCCAATGGGCTGTAGGGGCAAGTGCAGTCACCCACTGACCCGGTGAACCCCCGTTGAATCCCCGTTGAATCCCCGTTGAACCCCCTTTGAACCCCCGTTGAACCCCCGTTGAACCCCCGTTGAACCCCCGTTGAACCCCCGTTGAATCCCCTTTGAACCCCCGTTGAACCCCCGTTGAACCCCCGTTGAATCCCCGTTGAACCCCCGTTGAATCCCCGTTGAACCCCCGTTGAATCCCCGTTGAACCCCCGTTGAACCCCCGTTGAACCCCCGTTGAATCCCCTTTGAACCCCCGTTGAATCCCCGTTGAACCCCCGTTGAATTCTCGGTGAATTCCCGGTGAAGCCCCGGTGAAGCCAGGTGAAGCCCCGGTGAATTCCCGTTGAATCCCGGTGAATCCCCGGTGAAGCCCGGCACACACCTTGAGCAGGCCCTTGCCGCCACGTGCCAGGCTCTCCTTGAGGTCGCCCGCCGGGCGGTTGCGGTCGGCGCGGCGCTGCCGCTGGAACTCCTCGTCCAGCGTGACGGCGGCAAGGCCCTTGCCAACGCTGCCTGTGATGAGGGAGGCCATGCCAGCCGCACCGCCTGGTGAGAGGGAGAGGGGGTGAGAGAGTGAGAGAGTTAGAGAGAGTTAGTGAGTTAGAGAGTTAGGGAGAGAGAGGGAGAGAGAGTTAGAGAGAGAGTTAGTGAGAGAGAGAGTTAGAGAGAGAGAGAGTTAGAGAGTTAGGGAGAGAGAGGGAGAGAGAGTTAGAGAGAGAGTTAGTGAGAGAGAGAGTTAGGGAGAGAGAGGGAGAGAGAGTTAGAGAGAGAGTTAGTGAGAGAGAGAGTTAGAGAGAGAGAGAGTTAGAGAGTTAGGGAGAGAGAGGGAGAGAGAGTTAGAGAGAGAGTTAGTGAGAGAGAGAGTTAGAGAGTTAGTGAGTTAGTGAGTTAGAGAGTTAGGGAGAGAGAGGGAGAGAGAGTTAGAGAGAGAGTTAGTGAGAGAGAGAGTTAGAGAGAGAGAGTTAGAGAGAGAGAGAGTTAGAGAGTTAGGGAGAGAGAGAGGGAGAGAGAGTTAGAGAGAGAGTTAGTGAGAGAGAGAGTTAGAGAGTTAGAGAGAGAGAGAGTTAGGGAGAGAGAGGGAGAGAGAGTTAGAGAGAGAGTTAGTGAGAGAGAGTTAGAGAGTTAGTGAGTTAGTGAGTTAGAGAGTTAGAGAGTTAGAGAGAGAGAGAGTTAGTGAGAGAGAGTTAGAGAGTTAGTGAGTTAGTGAGTTAGAGAGTTAGGGAGAGAGAGGGAGAGAGAGTTAGAGAGAGAGAGTTAGAGAGAGAATTAGTGAGAGAGAGAGTTAGAGAGTTAGTGAGAGAGAGAGTTAGAGAGTTAGGGAGAGAGGGAGAGAGAGAGTTAGAGAGAGAGAGTTAGAGAGAGAATTAGTGAGAGAGAGAGAGTTAGTGAGTTAGAGAGAGAGAGAGTTAGAGAGTTAGAGAGTAGGAGAGAGTTAGAGAGTTAGGGAGAGAGGGAGAGAGAGAGTTAGAGCGAGAGAGAGAGAGTTAGTGAGTTAGAGAGAGAGAGAGTTAGAGAGATAGTTAGTGAGAGATAGAGAGTTAGAGAGAGAGAGAGTTAGAGAGTTAGAGAGAGTTAGAGAGTTAGAGAGAGTTAGAGAGAGAGAGGGTTAGTGAGTTAGTGATAGAGTGAGAGAGTTAGAGAGATTTAGAGAGAGTTAGTGAGTTAGAGAGTTAGTGACAGTTAGAGAGAGTTCGAGAGAGAGAGTTAGAGAGAGAATTAGTGAAAGAGAGAGAGTTTCTCACCCACGGCGTGTCCCAGGAAGCTTTTCACTCCCAGTGCCACTCCCTCCACAAACTCCTCCGGACCGTGGATGGCTCCCTGATCATCAACATCATCAACAACATCATCAACATCATCAACAACATCAACATCATCAACAACAACATCATCAACAACAACATCATCACCGTCAACAACATCATCAACATCATCAACACCACCATCATCACCATCAACAACAACATCATCAACATCACCACCATCATCACCACCACCATCATCATCATCACCACCACCACCATCAACAACATCATCATCACCACCATCATCATCGCCATCAGCATAACCACACAGCCATCATGAACCCCGTGGCTCTCCCCGTGTGTCTCCCCGTGTGTCTCCCCGTGTCTCTCTCCATGTCTCCCCGTGTCTCTCCCCGTGTCTCTCCCCGTGTCTCTCCCCCCGTGTCTCTCCCCGTGTCTCTCCCCCCGTGTGTCTCCCCCCGTGTCTCCCCGTGTCTCTCCGTGTGTCTCCGTGTGTCTCTCCCCGTGTCTCTCCGTGTGTCTCTCCGTGTGTCTCCCCATGTCTCTCTCCATCTCTCTCCCCGTCTGTCTCCCCGTGTCTCCCCCCGTGTCTCACCGTGTCTCTCCCCGTGTCTCTCCGTGTGTCTCCGTGTCTCCCCCCACGTGTCTCTCCATGTCTCCCCCCCCATGTCTCTCCGTGTCTCTCCCCGTGTCTCTCCCCGTGTCTCTCCCCGCGTGTCTCCCCGTGCGTCTCTCCGTGTCTCTCCCCGTGTCTCCCCGTGTCTCTCCCCGTGTCTCTCCTCGTGTCTCCCCGTGTGTCTCCCCGTGTGTCTCTCCGTGTCTCCGTGTCTCTCCCCGTGCGTCTCTCCGTGTCTCCCCGTCTGTCTCCCCGTGTCTCTCTCCATGTCTCCCCGCGTCTCTCCGTGTCTCTCCCCGTGTGTCTCTCCGTGTCTCTCCCCGTGTCTCTCTCCATGTCTTCCCGCGTGTCTCTCCGCGTGTCTCCCCCCGTGTCTCTCCCCGTGCGTCTCTCCGTGTCTCTCCCCGTGTGTCTCTCTCCGTGTGTCTCCCTGTGTGTCTCCCCCCGTGTCTCTCCCCGTGTGTCTCTCCCCGTGTCTCCCCCCGTGTCTCCCCCACGTGTCTCTCCCCGTGTGTCTCCCCGTGTCTCTCCCCGTGTCTCTCCCCGTGTCTCCGTGTCTCCCCCCCCCCCCGTGTCTCTCCCCGTGCGTCTCTCCGTGTCTCTCCCCGTGTGTCTCTCTCCGCGTGACTCCCCCCGTGTCTCCCCCCGTGTCTCCGTGTCTCTCCCCGTGTGTCTCTCCCCGTGTCTCTCCCCGTGTGTCTCCCCGTGTCTCTCCCCATGTCTCTCCCCGTGTCTCCGTGTCTCCCCCCCCCCCCGTGTCTCTCCCCGTGCGTCTCTCCGTGTCTCTCCCCGTGTGTCTCTCTCCGCGTGACTCCCCCCGTGTCTCCCCCCGTGTCTCCGTGTCTCTCCCCGTGTGTCTCTCCCCGTGTCTCTCCCCGTGTGTCTCCCCGTGTCTCTCCCCGTGTCTCTCCCCGTGTCTCCGTGTCTCCCCCCCCCCCGTGTCTCTCCCCGTGCGTCTCTCCGTGTCTCTCCCCGTGTGTCTCTCTCCGCGTGACTCCCCCCGTGTCTCTTCCCGTGTCTCTCCGTGTCTCTCCCCGTGTGTCTCTCCCCGTGTCTCTCCCCGTGTCTCCGTGTCTCCCCCACGTGTCTCTCCCCGTGTGTCTCCCCGTGTCTCTCCCCGTGTCTCTCCCCGTGTCTCCGTGTCTCCCCCCCCCCCGTGTCTCTCCCCGTGCGTCTCTCCGTTTCTCTCCCCGTGTGTCTCTCTCCGCGTGACTCCCCCCGTGTCTCCCCCCGTGTCTCTCCCCGTGTGTCTCCCCGTGTGTCTCCCCGTGTCTCCGTGTCTCCCCCCCCCGTGTCTCTGCCCGTGTGTCTCCCCGTGTCTCTCCCCGTGTCTCTTCCCGTGTCTCCGTGTCTCCCCCCCCGTGTCTCTCCCCGTGTCTCCCCCCCCGTGTCTCTCCCCGTGTGTCTCTCCGTGTCTCTCCCCGTGTGTCTCTCTCCTCGTGTCTCTCCCCGTGTCTCTCCCCCCGTGTCTCTCCGTGTCTCTCCCCGTGTGTCTCTCTCCTCGTGTCTCTCCCCGTGTCTCTCCCCCCGTGTCTCTCCCCGTGTGTCTCTCTCCGCGTGTCTCTCCCCGCGTGTCTCACCTGGTAAGGTTCGTAGAAGAGACTTTCAACTCCCTCTGAGAGTCCTCGCAGCAGAGCCACGGGGTTACCCATCACGTCCAGACCCAGCAGCAGCACGTACGCCTGCCTGATGAACTACACACACACACAGACACTATACATTATACACACAGACACACACAGACACACACAGACACACACACACACACAGGCACTATACATTATACACACACACACAGACACACACAGACACACACAGACACACACACAGGCACTATACATTATACACACAGACACAGATACACACACACACAGACACACACACAGACACAGATACACACACACAGGCCCAGCAGCAGCACGTACGCCTGCCTGATGAACTACACACACACACACAGACACACACACACACTATACATTATACACACAGACACACACATTATACATTATACACACAGACACAGATACACACACAGACACAGATACACACACAGACACAGCAGCAGCACATACGCCTGCCTGATGAACTACACACACACACAGACACACACACAGACACACAGGCACTATACATTATACAGACACACACAGATACACACACACAGACCCAGCAGCAGCACGTACGCCTGCCTGATGAACTACACACACACACACACTATACATTATACACACAGACACACACTATACATTATACACACAGACACACACACAGACCCAGCAGCAGCACGTACGCCTGCCTGATGAACTACAAAGATACAAAGATCCCCCGTGTAGCCTTAACAGACTGTAGGGGCAAGTGCTGTTAGCGAGCACCTATGAAGGCCGGAACGGCACACGAGGGGGTGGGTGGCCAGCACCACGCCCGACCGCCTTTGTCTCCCCAGTGGCGATGTTTACACACCGCACCAGGTACTCATTTGAGGCTGAGTCGACCTAGGGGAGGCCCAGGACCGGTTCAGATAATCGTCACTGGTGTCGGCCGTGAACGGGAATCAAACTCGGGTCACCAGGTTCGTAGCGCAGCGTAGCGCTAACCACTACTACACTACTGCTCCCCTACTGAACTACACACACACAGACACACACAGACACACACACACAGACTATCTATATATATAAATCGCAAATCTGTCTGTCTGTCGGTCTGTCTGTCTGTGTGTGTGTCTGTGTGTGTGTCTGTCTGTCTGCGTGTCGCCGGACCATACGCAGTTTCATTGGACGAAATGTGAGGGATTTGTGAGACGCGATTGGTCCGTTTGGTTTTCCACGGCGGTTGCCCCTGGCAACGGGTAGCGACGCATTCGCTGCGGGGTGGACGCCATTTTTAATTCCCGTAAAAAATATGCGCACGCATTAACACGCGACTCTGAGGTAAATTCATCAAAGTTTCACGTCCTCTTCACTCCCATCCCACCCCAATGTGTGCAATTACTATTATAGGCTCCGTAGATAATAAAATTATAGCGATTAGACAGTATTATTGTAGCGCGGGGGGGGGGGGAACAGCACCCGTACCCAGCCTCAGCCGGGTGGGCAATTTAGGCGAGGCCAGAGGCTCTGCACGGTACTAGGCCTCGACACCCACCACGCGACTCTGAGGTAAATTCATCAAAGTTTCACGTCCTCTTCACTCCCCCGCCACCCCAATGTGTGCAATTACTATTATAGGGTCGGTAGATAATAAAATTATAGCGATTAGACAGTATTATTGTAGCGCGGGGGGGGGGGGTAACGGCCCCGGTTCAGCCTCAGCCGGGTGGGCAATTTAGGCGAGGCCAGAGGCTCTGCACGGTACTAGGCCTCGACACCCACCACGCGACTCTGAGGTAAATTCATCAAAGTTTCACGTCCTCTTCACTCCCCCGCCACCCCAATGTGTGCAATTACTATTATAGGGTCGGTAGATAATAAAATTATAGCGATTAGACAGTATTATTGTAGCGCGGGGGGGGGGGGTAACGGCCCCGGTTCAGCCTCAGCCGGGTGGGCAATTTAGGCGAGGCCAGAGGCTCTGCACGGTACTAGGCCTCGACACCCACCACGCGACTCTGAGGTAAATTCATCAAAGTTTCACGTCCTCTTCACTCCCCCGCCACCCCAATGTGTGCAATTACTATTATAGGGTCGGTAGATAATAAAATTATAGCGATTAGACAGTATTATTGTAGCGTGGGGGGGGGGGGTAACGGCCCCGGTTCAGCCTCAGCCGGGTGGGCAATTTAGGCGAGGCCAGAGGCTCTGCACGCTACTAGGCCTCGACACCCCACCACACTATAGGCCGTACATACTACTGCACAGCGGCCGAGGAGATCGTGGCTGGGGGGGGGGGGGGGGCAGGGGTAGCAGCCCATCTGTGTATATATGTAAGGTTATTAATAAATATATTTTTCACCCGGGCAACGCCGGGTACTTATGCTAGTACATTATATACACAGACACACGCACATTATACATTATACACACACACACAGACACACACACTATACATTATACATAGACACACAAACAGACACACACACACAGACAGATACACACACAGACATTACACATTATACACACACACACAGACACACACACAGACAGATACACACACAGACACACACACAGACACTATACATTATGCACACACACACAGACACACACACAGACAGACAGACACACACACTATACACACAAACAGGCACACACACTGTACATTATGGGTGAGTGAGCGAGTGAGTAGGTGAGTGTGTGGGTGGGTGAGTAGGTGAGTGTGTGGGTAAGTGGGTGGGTGAGTGTGTGGGTGGGTGAGTGGGTGGGTGAGTGAGTAGGTGAGTGAGTAGGTGAGTGAGTAGGTGATGTGTGTGGGTGAGTGGGTGGGTGAGTGAGTGTGTAGGTGAGTGAGTAGTTGAGTGGATGAGTGAGTAGGTGAGTGAGTGGGTGAGTGAGTGTGTGGGTGAGTGAGTGTGTGGGTGAGTAGGTGAGTGAGTGAGTGTGTGGGTGAGTTGGTGAGTGTGAGTGAGTGGGTGAGTGAGTAGGTGAGTGAGTGTGTGGGTGAGTGGGTGGGTGAGTGAGTGTGTGTGGGTGAGTGAGTGGGTGAGTGTGTGGGTGAGTGAGTGTGTGGGTGAGTAGGTGAGTGAGTAGGTGAGTGAGTGAGTAGGTGAGTGAGTGTGTGGGTGAGTAGGTGAGTGAGTGAGTAGGTGAGTAAGTAGGTTAGTGAGTGTGTGGGTGAGTAGGTGAGTGAGTGAGTGTGTAGGTGAGTGAGTAGGTGAGTGGATGAGTGAGTAGGTGAGTGAGTGGGTGAGTGAGTATGTGGGTGAGTAGGTGAGTGAGTGTGTGGGTGAGTTGGTGAGTAGGTGAGTGTGTGAGTGAGTGTGTGGGTGAGTGTGTGGGTGAGTAGGTGAGTGAGTGAGTGTGTGAGTGAGTGGGTGAGTGTGTGAGTGTGTGGGTGAGTAAGTAGGTGAGTGAGTAGGAGAGTGAGTGTGTGAGTGATTAGGTGAGTGTTTGGGTGAGTAGGTGAGTGAGTGTGTGGGTGAGTAGGTGAGTGTGTGAGTGAGTGAGTGTGTGAGTGTGTGGGTGAGTAGGTGAGTGTGTGAGTGAGTGTGTGGGTGAGTAGGTGAGTGGGTGAGTGTGTGGGTGAGTAGTGGGTGACTACCTGGTTGGTGTAGTGTTTTGTGGCGTCAGTGAGAAGTTTCTGCAGCGTTGAGAACTCGTAGCTCACTTGGAAATACGCCATCCTGCACCAACATCAACATCATCACCATCACCAACATCATCATCATCACCAACATCAACAACATCAACAACATCACCATCATCATCACCAACATCAACATCATCACCATCACCATCATCACAATCATCACCAACATCACCACCATCACCAACATCATCAACATCATCATCACCATCAACATCATCAACACCATCAACACTAACATCACCAACATCAACATCACCAACATCATCAACACCAACATCACCAACATCAACATCACCAACATCATCAACATCACCACCATCAACAACCACCATCACCAACATCAACATCACCACCATCAACATCACCACCATCACCACCATCCTACACTACCATCACCAACATCACCACCATCACCAACATCAACATTACCAACATCACCACCATCAACAACCACCATCAACATCACCAACATCATCATCAACATCACCACCTCCATCACCAACATAATCAACATCACCAACATCAACATCACCACCATCACCACGATCAACATCACCACCATCAACATCACCACTATCACCACCATCCTGCACTACCATCACCAACATCATCACCATCACCAACATCACCAACATCAACATCACTGAGTGACTGGCTGAGTGACTGGCTGAGTGACTGGTTTGAGTGACTGAGTGAGTGACTGAGCGAGT